CACACACACACACACACACACACACACCTGTCGGCAGGTGCGGAATCGGGCCATGCGGGTGGGGGGAAGAAAGGGCGTGGACGGCTGAGAGGGCGGAAGGCCGTACAGTCGCGTTCGCTCTCTTTCACCCGCCTCCCACTTTCTCTCCTCGTCCAACGCCTTCTCCTTGCCCTCTTCCCCCCCTCCCTCTTCCCCATAGCCGCAGCAACGTCTCCATACTTCTGGCTTGGGGACCCAACAGGTTATCTCTAGCTGGTAGAACACCAAGCTTGCCCTGGCACGTACGCGAGGCCAATGGGGATTGAACCCACGACCTCCTGAACTTCTGTGCCTTACCAACTGAGCTAGGCCCGCAGGCCTTTTTGCTTTTTCATTCCTCTCCCAGCCATTTTTCTCCGGTGCTGCATTTTTTGGAGGTCAGCCTAGCAGGGCAAAATGGCTGGCAGCGCCATCCAAAAAGAGGCCTGGTCGTTTCCCTCCCCCCCTTTTCCTTTCTCTCTTTTTGGCTCTCAGGGCATTCCAGGCTCGGCAAGGGAAGGGTCAAAAGTACACATGGTCTAAACCACCAGTACATTTCCCAGCCAGTTTGCTGCCGCAACTTTCGGGGCTCAGCCGCCGGAGCAGAAAGGCCGGCGGAGCCAGGCAAACGGCACTGATTCTTTTTCTTTTTTTTTGGCGCGCAGGGCGTTCAGAGAACGGGGTAACAAAAGTGCCTTGGAAGTACTGGTGGTGGCTTAACAAATTTAACTGTCTTTTCTTTTCTTTTTGTTTTGCAATCCTGGACTTGACAGTGGTACAGCCAGAATTGCCTCCTTTGCAGCCTGTATAATAGATAGGTGGCCTTACTGTGCACCTTGTGCATAGTATGCTTGGCACGGAATGGACTGATATTAGTATACAATAACTGGTCATCTGTTCTACCTTTCCTTTGAAAAGGCTATGCGGAGATACACCTTTTAACTACATAATAAGGTACAACTGTTTTTGCACACAGGTCACGACAGGCTGTATATAGGTTATCGCTACGATACTTGGTGTGGGTACGGTGTAGTGGCGTTTTGTGTGCCTGTGCCTTTTTGGGTCGTAGTATGCTTAGGTGGTACCCTCTTTTTTTTTTAATTTCTAATTTTATTTTTAATTTTAGGTGGTACCCTGTTTTTCTTATTTCTGGCGAAGTGTTTCTTGATAATGGGTCAGGCCGGAGTGCTCGGTCCTTGCCATTGAGAGACCCGTACAATGTGAAGGAAGCTGGGCCCGTTTCCCAGCACTGTATATGAAGTTGATGCAATCGGAAAAAAAAAAAAAAACAATCCATGCATGGCCTAGTGTGCTGTAAGAAGAGGGAATATCATCCATCGGACCAGGTCCAAGAAACAATCCACAGCTCAAATTAATAGAAAAAAAAAAAAAGAAACAAGGAAAGGGCCACGGTCCAGGCTCCACGCTACTTTTAACCCGTATCCAAATCCACCAGCCAGTTGTCCGGGAACACTAGAAACCAGGTCTAATAGCGGGAACCCTAGAAACCAGGTCTACTAGCGGGAACCCTAGAAACCAGGTCTAATAGCGGGAACCCTAGAAACTAAGTCTAATAGCGGGAACCCTAGAAACCAGGTCTAATAGCCCTTTGTAAAGCCCGTAGGCGAGCTCCATTATGAGGAAGTAAGGGCCAGACCGAGAACGTCGGGCCCTTTTCAAATCGGCATCTCCTACTCGTGAGGGACATGGAATGGGACCCCATGCACTGCTGTCAAAACCTGTAAAGAAGGATCGGTCCTCCGTGACCCTGTTCCAGGACAAAAGTGGAATGGCGTATGTATCATTGTCTAGGTCGGTTTCTCTCAAGTCAGGAATGATCCCTCAGGAATTCGTCCCAAGTAGGAAGTGACTGCTTAGGTATCTATCTCGACACTTGCAGGACTAGATTTTCCATGACCCATATCCAAGAGGAAGGAGTGCCCCATGTTCCTGTTGCAGAGTGGTCAATCATGTTCCAGGTCCAGAGTGGTCCCCATCATGTTCAGGTCCAGACTGACCCATGTTCCAGGTCCAGAATGTAGTCCATCATGCTTCAGGTCCAGAGTGGTCCACCACACTCCAGGTTCAGAGTGGTCCATCATGCTCCAGGTTCAGAGTGGTCCATCATGCTCCAGGTCCAGAGTGGTCCATCATGCCCCAGGTCCAGACAGACCCATGTTCCAGGTCCAGAATGTAGGTCCAGAGTGGTCCATCACACTCCAGGTTCAGAGTGGTCCATCACGCTCCAGGTCCAGAGTGGTCCATCATGGCCCAGGTCCGGAGTGGCTCATTTTGTTCCAGGTCCAGAGTGCAGTCCATCGTTTTTCCAGGTCCAGAATGGACCATTCTCCTGGCCCAGAGTGGTCCTTCACCGAGGTCCAGAGTGGTCCATCATGTTCCAGGTCCAGAGTGGTCCATCATCCCGGTCATGAGCATGGTCCATCAAGTTCCAGGTCCAGACCAGTCCATGTTCCAGATCCAGAGTGGCCCATCAACCAGGTCCGGGGTGGTCTTTTTCCAGGTCCAGAGTTCGTCATCCACGTCTGCTGCTTTCAAATTGGTCCTGCAAAGCCATCGTGAACGAGGAATAATCCCCACCGCAAAAAAAATGATTCTCATCACAGTAATGCAGATTGTTGAAGATAACTTATTGCCATTGAACAGCTTATGATGGAAGAAGGTAGCATCTGCCCTCCGTACAAACGCCGTTGAAGAGTCTCCAAATCAACTGACAGCACCTCAATAAATTCCTCAGCATCCCTCCTACGAGGTTTAGCATCTGGCTGTAAACACACACACACAC